CCTTTATCGGCTCGTAGTCGTCCCATCCATGGCCATAAGCATGCAAGGGATAGGCTGCTTCACCATGTTTGTATATGTCAAGACCATTAATTTCTACCTCTTCACTGACACGTAGCTTTCCAATCTGAAAAAGTCGTCATGAGTTTTGGCAAAGTGTCAAAGAATATGTATATATGGCCTTGCTCGTTGCTGATGATGGGGAAGTGGCTGGGTTTGGCGCGGCGCCAGCCCATTTTCACCCATCTTTGTAGCTTGCCTGCTTCAACATTTGATGGAGAACGAACTGGCGCCACGCTAATCTCCAGCCGAACCCTTGAAATCATTCAGCATCAGTAACGAACAAAACTGCGCTTCAAATTCCTGAGATGGTGCAAAACAGTGAAGCGGTTCCACAGGCAACTTCATGTTCCGAGCTTGAATAAAATACCACTCATCCCCTTCTCAAGAAGATACACCCTGTTCCTCGCTCCTTCCAAAGTGTAATTTTCAAAAAAATGTGCGGAATAGTAACAGGTAACTTTGTAGCTGCTTTATGCAACTTACCTTTCTCAAAAACAGGAAGATAGGTATCATCCAAAGCAACGACCATATAATTATTGCAAGGGCACATATCAACTGCCATCCGAACTGCTGAAAAGCCAAATTGAATTTCCATTTTAGGATGTTCTTTGAGATGAATTCTGAAGTTTCTACTCGGTAAACAGCGCGCCTCGAGACGATTACGCGTCAACTTCAACTTTTCTACATGGTCCTGCTGGGAAACACTGCGACACAGACGGGTATGTGGCAAGAGAATCGTAATTCGCCGCGCCAGTGGGCGTCGCGTGCGACGTCGCGCCGCTAATGACGACGATTTCAGGTGCATTGGTCGAGAATAGACAAGTACGCAAATTAGGGAGACATCGGTCCATTGCCGCACGCGGCGAAGCGACAATTTACGATTCTCTTGCCCGTCTCCCGACACAGACAAACAGAGGACAGCGGCTGCAAAAGCATGCAAATGTGCACGAAACATGCGTCGAGCCGGAGATGAGCTTCCTCAATGGGATGCACTCCATGGAGTGGGAGGAGGGAGTGGGGCATTTTATCATGGAGTGAAGACGGTGCTAAAAGGCGTGTCAAGCGGACTGATGCGATTGGCTGATTGGCGAGACGGTGGCCCATTTACCACAATTGTTCTCACCTACTCGCTTCAGCAGTCGATGGAGAACGTGCTGGCATCGCCGACCAGCCCCAAACTGTCTGACAACGCTCCGATCCGCGGCGATGAGACTTCTACAATGAATAGGGAGTCGTCTATGGAGGGGAAGGCGGCGAGGGGGTGAAGGTTGTATGCGAGTTCCCACATTTGGTTCTACTAGAATAGTAATAGACAGATAGCCCCAGTAATTTACTGTTGCCCGAGATTTTGCATTTCCCCCATCTATTTTTTCTTTTTTGCCCACTCGACATTCTTCACCCTGGACCCCTTAGTCAGTGCCTCTAAGTTCCCATAGAAATATATGGTTCTCTACATTCACAAAAATTCACCGCAAATGCTTGTCTCAGAGAAGAGGACCCGTGATGTTGTCAATGGCATTCGCGATATAGCTGTAGTACAATTCGCCCGTGCATGATGGATGCTGGACATTAGTCCCCAGAAGACCCCCACTCAGCAGTGGTACAGCGAACGCATCAAATGGATCATCGACTTATTAACTGAAATGAAATTCAACACTCTCGCTGAACGTAGAAGTTAATTACACTTAAATCATACGCAATCATGAAGTGGCTGAGAGCGAGGTAGGTGAGTCCGGCTCCGATACCAGTAAATGATGACGCCCATGGTTCCATACGATTACAACCGGCGCAAGATGACACCATACCTAACAGTAGCGAACCTTTCAGCACAGGGTAGACCTTAAAGGAAATGGAATTTTTAAATTTTTACCTGCAAGGCAAGCGTTTATAGTCAACAATAAAGTCCATTTTCCTTTTGTAAGGAAAATGAATAATAAGGAAAGTCAGTGCTGCCCATGCTCCACAGAGGATAGTGTTGACCATTGCCAAAGCCACTATACGGCCCTCTCCAGGTTTAACTATATCGGCCATCGATCCTGTAAAAAACAAAACATACTTTCGGGTATTAATGGAAATTTGGAACGGAGGAGAAAGCAGGCGTTGAGGCGTGGTAAAGGGCTGGGTTTGTAACGATGCCAGCCCCTTCTCCACGATTATCGAATTGGTCAAGCGACAACAATTGGTGGAAAACGGGCTGGCGCCGCACCAAATTCCACACTGACACGCCCCAGCATCTGCAGCGACGACTATACGTAACAGGTATCTTACCTCCATTGAAAGCCAGGAAACCAAACATCAGAATGAAACCACCAAGAGCAGCGAACTGAATAAAATAGAAATAAACGAACAAATACGGAAAAACAGAGAGCCTATCCAGCTTGGTCAACATGGTATGCGCCATGCACAGCGCGTCACGCATAGGTTTTCCATTTGAATTGTTGAGGGCATTTGCATAACTGCTTGTACTACACACTACTAGTTCGCGGATTTCAGAAAGTTCTGGGAGCCACTCCAGATCTTTCTGATAGTCCAGCCAATTTGAAAGAGGAAAGGGATGAAGAGAATCCTTTAGTAACTTATACCACTTGTAACTATTTGTATGAAACTCGTAATACCCTACAAATAAGGTTGTTTTTCTTCTGGCTGTTGATTTTTCTGGGTGGTAGTGGACATCTACGACCAGAAACAACATTCAAGAGAAGTTTTTTCAGGGCGTTTTCATCAAAAATTACTACGCCCGTGGAGGATCCCTCGGCGTTGACCCCTACGAAAATAATGCTTCCGCCGTTAAACAGAAAGACGGAAGTGGCACTTCTATACCTTGGGTTGCGTGGCAAGCAGAGTAGTTTCAACCACTTTAGCACTCAAATTTTCAACTTGTTCCTTGGTATGCTTTGAATTAGTGGGAACAGATGGCACCACTTCCAAGGGCAGGACATTGTGGTGGATCAGTCGGGTGTTCTGTCTCTCCTGTGTTGATGAACTGGAGGGATAGCTTTCCCGAGTACGCAGCTAATTTTAGCCACTCCGATTTGTAAGTTGCTAGTTTCACAATTCATCATGTAGACCAAATAACGCCTAGAAACCACCGCGATTGAGAAGGAAAGTGGCAAGCATGGCTGATCCTCCGAGAAATCGACCAATACTGAATGCTCAATCCTTCGATCCTTCCAACCTCTATACTTCCTCATGCTCCTGTTTTCACTTATTAAGGTGACGAGAAAATTGTGCCAGTGTTTTCTGAACAGTCCACTTGTTTTAAATCTCGCGTTTCGACTTTGATTATGATCGTTCGATTCGATTTTTATTCGATGCAAGTCCTCCATGAGGTCCTGAGCTCGTCCGGTTAACGGTACTAAGTCCCTCATTTTGCTGACAGAGCCCACTCCTACTCTCACTTGCATCGAAGACAGTACCTGCGCTCAAACAATTCCTAGGGGTCCTTCCTTTCACAAGAAGTCTAGCCCCCAGTCTCAAGACTCTCCCACTGCTTCACAGGAAGTAACGATGGCACTGCATGAGTGGTGGCAGCACCGACACCTCCCTAGTTTCCCCACCCACCCAAACTCAACGCTATTTTTGTTACGAACTCAGTTTCAACGCCATGTTTTCGCTTTTTTTCTACTGTTAGATACTAATAGCATTGGATGACGAGAAGAAACCATTAGTGAGCCAGAGTCAGCAGGATATCTCTTTTGCTTGCATAAGACATGCAGGTCCGGAAAGCTCATACAGTGTAGCTGCCAGGGGATCTTTAGGGGTTTCTCCATGATTTTTTTGCTTTTTTTCTTCTCTGGTGAGCCACTTAGAAACCATAAGTTTGCTATTGAATGCCACTACCCACAATATGCAATCGCGCGGTTTGTCTTAAAAGTTTTCTCTACTCAGAAAGACTCCAGCAAGTTTGATGATATGGGACGATGGGTCGCCGATTTCTTTATGTCCTAGTCTCGGTTCTAACGAATGAAGGTTGTAGACCTGCTCATTAAGTAGTGTTTTAAGATGGCTAGACAAGACTTTCTCATCACTTCAATGTTTTGCTCTAGGGCACCTCTTTGATAACAATTGCATGTTATCAGCTAAATTAGCCATTAGTTCGTGCAAGCTTCCTCTATTGTTCTTTCAACGTAACAAGCGGCAAGACAAACAAAGGTGATAAGATCTTGAAGAGCCCACAGGCAATGAATGAACTAAAATTGAATAACTCGCTTGGCGTTGATCATCCCCAGAACTGCAGAAGTTTCAGCTTGAAACCCAAGTGCAATTGAAAATCAAAATCGGCTCAAAGGTGCTACATGGGCTCTTGCATAAGAGTGATGCCTTGCCAGGACCATACGACGTAGAAAACTGTATTTTTACCTACTAACTCGAGTCCTGTACTAATCAGCCAACTTATGAGCAGTGGAGGGCTCGGTTTCCTAAAGCGTGGTTTTATGGTTTCATTTTCGGACCGTGCTTGCAGTATAGGTGGCCGCCATTTCGCCCACCTTAGGAGGGCACGTCGAGCGTAGATTATACTCTACGAAGGAGGTCGTATTCAATTGTTAGAGGAAGCGGGTCGTATTCGCCCAAAAAATGTTTTCGTCTGTAGACTTTCCTCGTTTCATGTGCGCTGTATTCGTCCCCTGTTCGACAGCAGTTTACTGGGCAAAAAAGAAGCAATTCATGGGAAAGACTGGGAAAATGGTAGGAAATTTAGGAAAATTATAAAAATTCGCGGTAGATGGTAGGAAAGACGGGGATGGACAAAAGGTTGTACAATAGGGGAAAGCTCTGGAAAGGAGGTCTTTATTTCGGAGAATTTCTTTGCAGGACGCCAAGGCATGGTGCAATAGCGCTTTCATTTGTAATTCTCCCATTCTGGCTCCCCATAATGGGCTTATGGCATTAATCTGTT